TGTTCTCGTTATCTAAAAGTTACTAACCTTCATATTAAATAGCACAAAATTCAGAGAACAGAATATTATATTATATTTCATTGCATTTTATTATTATTGTAATTTGTATGATCCACACCAACGAGAGACCATTTCAATGTGTATTCTGCCTGATGGATTTTAAACCTAATTGAAAAGTTAATTGCGTTCTTTGTCTTTACTGTCCTACTATGTATGTAACGAGATATAGAGAAGAAAACAAGTATGCACTATCAAATCAACTCATAGATCATAATATGTGGTTTATCGTTTAAAGGTTTTTTTAAGATTCATAAATACGCTATATATAATATAAATTAGAAAACATTTATACTCTAATAGAAGCAGTTATAGCTTGTTTTTATAGACAAATAGTAGTACAATAAATATTTTATTACATTTTAGTAAAAAATTGTTATCTGGTGCAATCTAATTTTTACTATTATTGAAAAGTTAATTTCGGCTAATGTCAATGATATTATTAGATAGACATTATCCTATGATTAGAAAATATGGAATTAGTTAATAAATATCATAATGATTTATTTTTATGTTTAACTATTGATAACTTTAATTTATATTTAAATAATTTAGTAAAATAACATCTTTAACTAGTACGTAAGAAATATCCAAGAACCTATGATTATGTATTTGTATATATTTATATTGTAATTAACTTGATACTAATGTACACTTAGTAATATTTAACCTATTTAATAAGTGTGTAGTAACCACAAAGATTTTATCTAGAAAACTGTACGCATCGATCATTGTATATTCTTTTTAATTGGGCATTTTTGCCCGTTCAAATAAATAAATAAATTATATTTTATTTTATTGCATTAAATATTTATTGTATTTTGTATGATACCCACAAACGAGAGGGCTTATTAATTTGAAATCTGCCTAACCGTTTTTAAAGCTATTTGAAAAGTTAACGTCGGCTAAAGTCAATGATATTTTACTATATAATTAGTTTAAAAAAGCCAGCACAGTGGGGTCGGGGCACAGTGGGGACGGAGAGGTCACAAGTTTACAGATTTTATTATAACCTAAAGTGATGAAATCACTTTTAAATAAACGCTTCGATGCGAACCTGTGGATAGTATGTTCAAACCAGTTTAAGCGGTTTAGAAGATATCGTGAGACCAGCAATAATGTATTTAAAATTTAATATTTATTCTTGTGCATGGTGGATACGACAAGGGTTGATCGTCTGTCTATAAAAATGTACCGTCATAGTTACCCATACATAGTAATTAACAATATAATGAATATATTTTCATTACTTGTTGACTGTTAATTCAATCAAACAAGTAAATTTACCCTTTTTTTTTGGTGTTTTTCCTAAATAAAAAAAAAAACAATTTTACTACAGATTCAGTCTAATTTTTAGTTATAAATTTTAAAAACTATTCTTGAACGAGTGAAATAAAGAAAAAAATTTTATCCCTTCTTGGGGAAAGAGTTTATGATATTTTTTTTATTTGTTAAGTTTTATCAATAGCACTATGTTTTAAGAACAATTCATATAAATTTTGAACTTTTTCGACTATTTTTAAAAAAGTTATATAGCATCGTATTTTTAAGTAGAAAAATGTATAAGTTTTTTGGGTGTTTTTCTCGTTTTTGACGGGGAAGGGGTGACTTTTTAAAATTGTTAGCCCAATGAAGTACCTTCCAGGTATGATTTCTGGTCTATGAAAATGCTACACGAATATTTCGTCGTGGGTTCAGACACAAAAGTAAAATAACAATTAAATATAAAATAAAATAAATTAAAAAAAATATAAATGAAAAACAAAACATTGTAAAAAACAATACCTTCTTAGTTTCGCGCCGAAGCTAAAATACGCATTAGAATAAATTACAGTACAGCTGTTCCTTTTCAATGTGAAATATGCCTAACGTTTTCAAACCGAATTGGAAATTTAATGTCGGCTAAAGTCAATGATATTTTTCTATATTATATTACATTACATTATAGTAATGTGTGTTGTATGATACACACAGACGAGAGGCGTTTTAAGCCAAGCCAAGCCTTTTAGTTTAAACAACAAAATGTTTTCATTGACCGTTTTATCATACGATACACGCAGCGAACAACAAAAATTGTATTACGACAATTTGAAAAATACAGCCATGGACATAGACACGGCCGTGTTGCAGAAATATAATTAAATATATCAATGCCTAAAAACGCTATACCTACATTTAAAATGTTTATTATCCAAAGTCTTATTATAACTAACAAAGCTTAATCTACATGGCACTATTACAAAATTACAAAAAACAAATTGAAAAGTTAATGTCGGCTAATATTAATCCTTAATCTATAACCCGGAAATTTCAATAATAATGTATTATAAAATATTACATTATATTATTTTATATTATTATAGTATATTGTATGATACGCGCCAGCGAGAGGCCTTACCAATGGGAAATCTGTCTAACCGTTTTTAAACGGAATCAAAAAACTATATTCAGCTAATTTTAATGGCTAGCTTCGGTAATAGTAGTATAACTATATTATGTGCATATAATTAATAAAGTATGTTAAAATTGTATCGATATTAAAGACTCAAAATTGTACGCTAACGATTATTTGAATAACGGCGGCTAATCGAGAGATACATTAAAATATCGTTGTTATTAAAAAATAAAACTGCATAGATGATACAAATAAGAATTAAGACTCACCGTCGTGCGTTGGTCCTGGCTCGTCTGTTTCCTCGGCTGCAACACTACTGACTGTGCTCTGTGAACTATTGGACTGGCAGTACTGAGGTCCAATATACCACCGAAGCAACCCCTGTTGTAGAGAAGAGGGTGGCTGGGACCCGGCAACGCCCTTTTGCATGGCTTTGATTGGTCCAAACGCAAATATATATATATATATATATATGTTGTATAATATAGTCGTTGTAGCAAAGGTGGCATGGGAAGGGAACATCTGCCATTATGGTCTCTGCGAATCACCAGCAATATAAGCTATACGAATTCTCTGTAAATACGTTAAAAAAATCATTCATGCATTTTTAAGTAACGTCAATATATATATATTAAATAAAAATGTAAATGGCATTGAATAAAAATAATTTTTGAAAGTTCTTATTCATACTCAGTACATCAATGATTTTAATAATAATAATATATATATATTTAACACCCCAAAGGCAATAGTGTAGCATACAAATAAATAAATTACAAATTAAGAATTATAAACGGTACCAATAAAAGAAAATAACACAATTTTTATAATAAACGTTACCAAACAAATTATAAAGAAGACATTTATTAAATGATTAAGTATAAATGGAACTAAACTAATATACAGAGTTCTGATGCACAATAAACTTGAAAAATTATAACAATTTCTCCTAAATAAACCTAATGTTTTTAAAGCTTTTAATTTTATATTTTTAACATGTTGATTAAATGATAAATCATTGGGAAAATAAACACCAAGGTCTTTCAGCTGTGTAACATTATGTAAGACTCTGTCATTAATAATGTATTGGGCTGAAGTAGGGTTATGGCAACGGGAAAATGATATTTTCATACATTTTTCCGCATTTATTGAAAGACAACTGGTGCATTATTCATGCACCAGGTTATAAATTTATTTATATCATCCTGGAGTTTAAAACAGTCAGCCTCAGATGTAATTTCCGTGTATATTTTTAGGTCATCCGCAAACATTAGACATTTGCAATGGTTAAGAACATTTGGAATTCCATTAACAAACAATAAAAACAAAATGGGTGATAAATGACCCCCTTGTGGTACACCTGAACTAACATTAATTACGTGGGATACTTTAGAAGCTAATTTTACTTGCTCAGTTCGACTGGTTAAATATGATTTTAACCAGGATAAAAACGGGTCCCTAATCCCTAATACACTAAGTTGAGTTATTAACAAATTATGATTTACAGAGTCAAATGCTTTTCTCAAATCGGTATATATACTATCAACTTGGCCACCTTTCTCAACAACTGAAATTAAATCAGTATAATATACTAGTATATTAGTTATGGTAGATTTACCAGGCAAAAATCCATGTTGCTGACTAGAAATTATATGATTAACCCTAACAGAGAGTTTAAAGTATAAATTATAACAAAAACCAACAAAAAAAAATGGATTCTTTAAAAAAGGAAAGAGTTTCTATTAAGGCATGGAGTCTGATGTTTTTTACTGAACATTTTGACTGATCAATTGGGAAATTGGTATTATAAAAACCCGAAAAAATGTGATAAAAAAATAAGGATATCTGAAAAATTACTATTATTTTGGAATACATTAACATAGGCTACCATATACAAAACTATTATAAGCCGTAATAAGTAGTATAATATATTTCATTTAGTCTAAGTTTTTGTAAATATTTAATTGTTAACTGTCATAGCTCTGTAAAGATCATATTTCACTTGACCGTTACTTCGCGTCCCAAACCAACTGACACAGCACCCCCGACTATAGGTAGGGGAACGGTCGCACACACAGGACAATGCACGTCGCGTATCATCTAATTAACCAGTTGACTTTACCATCACGGACCGCCAATATCCTCGACCTTGCGCTCTATATTTTTGCCGTTTTACTACAAGCCGCCCATCCGACTATCTTTTGTGTGCGTCCGTTTCAACTCCGCTTTGACCAACCATTTCATCGTCCAACCCAGGTCAGTGTGTATATATATATACATATATATTGTATAATTTTGTATTTTATTTAGAAACCCTAATTTAGAATAAAACATCTTGTAGCCTGCAGCTGAGAGTTAGATTATTTAACAGTGTGACCGCCCGTTCTAGCTCCTCGGGTGATATATTAAGTTAATAAGGGAGACTTTAAGGCCAATTAGACGTAGACAACGGCCTAGCCAACCTTTTTTCCGTGGGGATCCGTCTATTTTAGCTTTATCGACGGCCACTTTGCCTAGTCTAGCCAGCTAGACAAGTAGGTCCGTTACAATAAGATTGACAAGTTTTCCAACAAAATAACTCAATTCTAAATCTTATAAATTCCAAATTTTTTATTTGTTTCACAATGCAAAGTGATTCATTTAATAATAAGACACTCTTTTTCTCTAGAAATAATCGCAATTTTGTAGTTATTATTTTTTTTTCCGAGAAAACTAGTGTCATACATTTATATGTTACAAGACAATAAATTCAAAATTTTAAGATGTCCTGAATTATTAGGATTTTACACATGAGGGATGGTTTTTAAAATTGTTTTTATTGAAAACGTAGATAATAAAATTAAATTAAAATTGGGCGGACTGACTAAAAATTATTTGTGTGGATACTCGGTAAGAACGAGTTCGCGTATCATAAATAGCTGCATTCGGTTATGTTGATTTATTTAATTTTAATTAAATAAAAAATAAATGAAAATTGGAATTGATATAGAAAGCTTTTTATCATATGTATCTGTACAGAGTGATTTTTTTATCATGAGCCAACCATTATCTCACTGGGTTTAATTAAAAATTGTATTTTTTTTTTTCATAGTGTTTTTATACAATGTGATCTCGATTTTCCACAAATTATTATGTTTTTACTCCCTTCCCAAACTAGTTTTTTTTAAACAGTTTTTGAAAATTAAAGGTAACGTATATATGTGTTAAAATTTTTCAATTAAAAATATTTCACTAAAAATTTAGACTGGTTGATAACCAGTTTTGGATAATTATATTTAAAGTTATAAGAGTTTAAAAGTTAGGACGGTTGGTTAGGTTAGGTATGTGAGCGCAGATAAAAATAATACTATACTGCACCTTTACTCCTGCCCTAAACATGAAACTACAAGAACTTCAAAAATAGTATTTATATATTTTGTACTTTTAAGAGTAAAAATGATTAATTTATCACTTTTATGTATAATAATCATTTCTGTAGACCTGTGACCTCTCCGTCCTCAGTCATTTTTTATGATATTAGGCCATTGCTATCATATGTAAACACTGTGTAAAACAAGTTCTCTATTTATGTATTGTTTTCAGGTTGAAATACTCGAGTCTCAAGAAGTCAATTTTCTCCTGGACAAGTTTATTGCACTCTACAAACTTCATAAACAAAGTGGATATCTTACTCTTCAGCAGCTATTAGAAATATTTATGTCTTGGAAAGAAAAAAATTCTGCATTAAACGAAAAATTAAAAGAACTTAAATCTGATAGAGGCGGTAATGCACATAAGCCGTGGAAGCGGTTCACTTGATTGAGACAATTTTTAATTTTTAATTAAATTTTAGCCGGCTATGCAATTAACTCTGTGGAATTTTTATTGATCATGTTGGAAATCAAAGAAGCTGTAAGTACAAAAAAAAAAGGAGGAGGAGGAAAACAAATTTCTTGATACATTAAATAGAAAATTTCTAAAAGAAAAATTTTAAATTAGGACTTTCAAAAAAAATGTAGGTCATACCATTATTTATAAATACAATTGGTTAAAAATTTACAATTAAAAAAAAAAAGTAAGTATGTAAGGGAGATCCAGTGTTTACAGGTGAAAATACAAAAAACGCTAAAAGAGTTGAACTCTAAATCATACTCGTGCTTAAAAATTATTTTAGCTTCGATGCGGAGGAGTAATGCTATTGGTTTTACAGTGACGTAAACTTTTTTTATACTGGACTAATTTCATTTAGTAAAAACTTAATACGTCACAAATTTCATCTAGTCGGTACTTTGGTGAGGACAAATTTAAATAATTCACTTTTTTACAATTAAAATTTGAAAAAACCCCAAAAAAAAAATTCGAGTTTTTAAGTTTCAAATTTTACTGGCCATAACTTTGAGAAATAAGAGCGGATCTAGTTGAAATTTATAAAAAATCGGTTTATTCGGTATTCCCATATAATTCAATAGTCTCAAATTTGAATTGTACCTATTTTCTAAGCATTATAATACATCTAGTAACCATAGGGTATAGAATAAATCATTCAGATCCTCTACTTGTTTTAAAAAGTTATTTGTTGTAGAAAGAAAATTTTTAACAGTCTACGTACAGTGTACTTTTTTAATTCCAGTGGTTTGGAACTCGAAAATGTAGTTTACTGTTATGGTGATACATTATGTTCAGATCACAAAGGCTTACTGCAATGGAAGTATAAAATACATGAAATACTATTTTTTCTAATTACAAATGATTAAATGAACTTAAATCATGGAGTACAAACGATTATACCATAAATTATAGACCATTCCAACAGAATTTAACAAAATACTAATAATTTGTAATTTTGACCATTATATACTTGCAAAACCATAAAAAAAGCCAGCACAGTGGGGTCGGGGCATAGAGGTCACAGGTTTACTGGAATAAGTACATCTGAAAGTGAAAAAACCACTTTCAAATAAACGCTTCAATGTGAATCAATGGTTAGTATGTTCAGTCCAAACCAAGCACAGTACAAACCAGAAAAATTGTTAACGATTATAATGCTTGAGTTTTTATTTTCAAAAATTGTATTTACCGATATTCTTTATTCTTTCATTTTAGTACATATCCTTTATGTTTTTTTTAATTTTTCATTAAGAGGACGCCAACCACCTGTTTATTAAATAGTCAATTTTTCGAAAAATCTTAGTTTAAAGCTAGTAATATTTGTTATTACAATAGTTAATGATGATTCATTAATGGTTGTTTTATTTTTTGTCAGAATATCACAGTAATTTCTATAGTAAAAAAAATTGTTTATCATCTAACTGACTTTTGTCGTTTTAATTGAACAAAAGGCCAATATTTTTTATCATTTATAAGATAAAGAGATCAATGATGTTTTGTGGAATTGGATTTTGAAGATAGTACCCACAGTTGAACCTTACAGCTTACCAGTTAATCTAATTCATACAGTAAAATATGACACTTGAAAATCTTAAAAAAAAAAGCAATATGTATCGCAAAATATCAATGAGTCATTTTAAAGTGTTCATATTTATGCTTTAACATTTTTTTTTAATTGTAAAAGTGTTGCTCAAATTAGGGAGAAATTTATTTTTTGAATAATACAAATTTTAATTTTTCTTAAACACAGCCTAACCTAAAGCATTTGTTAATACTTTTTTAATATTTTGTAGGTCTGTGCTAATAGTTACGGTTTAATATCTCTTGATTCTGGTGGAAAAGAGGACCTAAACTCTACAATGAAAGAGTTCAATGGTAAAGTTAATTTAAACAGTTTTAATATGATTTAACTAACGACGGTTATTAGTCATCTCCTAATAAAACAAATCAATTTTCCCTTTTTAGGTAAAACAAGAGTAAGCTTCGCGGATTTCATGAAAAGGATATTATTTCGTCCATGAGAAACATCTTAAACACCATTAATTGGACAATGTTCAATAACCATAATGATAATAATAATATTTGAAATATATTTATGTATTTATGAATTGAAATATTACGGTGTCCAATAAAAAAAACATTATTATCTGATTTCTATTAATTAATAACCTAAACCAAAAACAGTCAGAAAGTATTACATGCAAGTGAGTGACAGTAATAGTAGTAAGCGAGTAAGTAATAGAGGTCTAGTGTTGGCAGGTACAATTACAAATATCTGTAAAAGCATTGTACCTTATGCTAATTGTGCACTTAAAAATACATTTTTAGTATTTAGTTTTACACGACTAGATTTGATCGTCTATCTATAAAAATGTATTGTCATAATTACCCATTTATTGTAATTAACAATATAGTATGAATTCATAAGCTGTTAATTTTAAATTTAACTATTAAAAATAGTCAAATTAGTTAAAATTTGTATTGAGTATTCTTTAAACATAGTACTTAAAAACCTTGATTAATCAAAAATATATCATATTCCCTTTCTCCTAGAAGAGACAGAGCCGTAACAAGGGGGGCAAAAGGTGCCCACGCAACATTTGAAGGAACGCAAAAATTAAGAAATTACAAAAAAAAGTTTTTATAAATCCTTATATAATAACAAAAATCAAACGAAGTAATGTGTTATTATATGTTGAATTTACTAATATAGGTAAAGTAACTACAAATATATTTAATTAATTATATTTTGTATTTTTCTACTCTGAGTAGGTGTTTAATGAAAAAACGATCATAAAATTTTAACTATAAAATATTTGTTTGATTGTATACAATCGTTCAATACTTGCCAACGTAGTGTTACCAACAATGGTTTATTTAAATGGTTGCTGGCTCAAAAAATTTCAACTCTATTAACAAATAAACGGCCGAAACAAACTATCTATTTTTTTTTAGATATAAATTATAATATATTTTGTAAAGTAATAGCCAGGCGCGATCAACGTAGTCATCCTTACCGAGGTGCAACGCAAACTGTCCGGCTGAACTGCACAATTCGTCGGCACTAATCAAGAATCGAATAGACAAATTCAACGACCTGAAATTCGTGGGTCACAGTAGACGGGGTAAGTGTATTTTAACTATATTTATCCACTGCTATATTTTCACCGTTATTTATAATTTAGATTAAATAAAAAATAATTTAAGTATATTTGGTGTTGTTTGCACCAACAAACCTTAAGTTTAGAATAAAAGCACTTTATCTGTAGGTTCAACATTACTTAAAATGGAATTATAGTTAGTGCAAACGGTCATGTGCAATTAGGTTATAGATTTTGAGTACTCGATATTTACAATATTGTCTTTTACGCTCTTCTTCAAAAAATAATTAGTGTCATCACAGCATACAGGATAGGGGTTTTTAAAATGTTTGCAAAAACAATTTACTTTTATTCATAGGAAACGTTAAATAGGAATTCAACTAACTTATATGCAATTTGAAAGCACATTAAAAAAAATTAATCACATTTTTAAGTTCCTTCTTTGAATAAAAATATAATACTTTAGATGTTTTCTTAATTGTCATTTTAATTTAATTTACGTGGGCATTTTCAAAAAGAGAAAACACTAAACGGAAACGTTACTCGCTGAGCTGAGTTAGTAATTTTAAAACCTATAGTATGTAAACCCTGATAAACCACAAACCTATTAATATTTTATTTTTTATCGCCATTAAAAATAACGTAAATAAGTTATATTTTAGAATAACGAATAGTGATTATGAAATTAAATTTAGTTTTTCTCCCCGTGACGAATAAAAATAAAACTGTATCTGACCGCACGGAAGTGAGCCAGGCCAAGTTCCAGCTATGTTAGTGTACCTTTACACGAACTAATTCACCCAGTTTTTTTAACCCACATATCTTTTTTTCCTTTAAGGATAAGCTTTTGAAATTGAAAATATAGATTACGGTCGAGTAGCTTATGATACTGTAAACAATTGAGCCCTTAATAGTAAGATTTTTCAAAAAGGAAGAATTTGAAAGTTTTTATTCTTATTAATTAACAAAATCTAAGAAGTTAAGGTCAAATAGTTCAAAATTTTATGTGGAATATCTCATATATGACAAAAGGATAACAAGTAAAAAATTAAACATTAATCACAATTTGAAATAGGTATATGTAGTTTATTGTATCTACTAAATATTAAAAATACAAACAAATGAAACAAATGTTTTATCATATTCAAATCAATAATATTTTTATTTTATATTAAAGGTAAAAGTTGAATATTTTTCCTTTTCTACGTCTTCTACAAACGAGTCGACGACCTTTATTATTTTTTCTTGTGTTTGGTTCTTAGTTATTTGGTTTTTTATCAGTTCTGGTTTGTCGACTAGCATAGATTTTGTTGCATTGAATAATGCTATGCGTCCACCGTGAAAATTGTTAGTTAATAATAATGCTTTTGCATTATTAACCGCATTAATATAGTTCGGGTACATGTTGAATGTAGAAGCTGGACACGAATATGAAAAACAATTTTAAAAGCTGTTTAATAAAATCTAAAATCGCTAGGATCAGGTTTCTATTTAAGATTTCAACAACTGTTTCCAAAAAGTACATATTTTAACGATTATGTTATTCTAAGTACAGTTGACAATAAAACAAATATAGGTTTCCTAAAACTATCTACCCAAAAAATTAGGGTCAGCGGTGTCTACAGAATTCAAATAGGATTAATTTAATTAACCTTATTCATCTGTTCCTTATCAGACAAAAATAAACTAAAATAATATTTTAGATACTCACAGCTTGTTACATCACCTTGTACAAAATATTTTATTAAATCAGTTTCAACAAGGTTTTTTTTAAGGTTTTCTATAGCGTCCGTTGTCTCCTCCTTGGGCGGCGTACCAACTAATGAAATCTGAAAGACATACATACATACATAGTAGTATCATAGAGTTCTGGTCGACTGTCCTCAAGTACCAGTCGTAATAAAGTATAATAGCTTTACAGCTTCAGTGAACATAGGTCAAAAGAAAATGTTATGAACTTATAGACGCTCTAGCAATTAGTGATAGCTTTGTATATTAAGAGACATAAATGGTTTGCATGATATCAAAGATCACTCCATTCGTTTTCAGTTACATTATATTGTATATAAAAAGTAAAATATTAATATTATTTAAACATTGTGAAAATATTATGTTTCTATAAAAACCAAACATTTCATAAATAGTTTTATACATTTGAAAAATATTCATTTTTGTTATGTTTTTTATTATGAAATGTAACACTTACGATGAGGCCAAATAAATAAATTGCTAATAACACGACACAATGAAGACTGATTGATTTCATCGTAAATATCAGTTTTAAAAACTCTATAATGGCAACAAGAAAAAATATAAAAACATACCATCGAAAAAAAGTTATTTTAAATATGACTTACTTTTTTGATAAACTTTAAGATTAAGTTGTGTGTGAGAACTCAAATAAAACACTAACACAGTTTATGCTCTGGTTGACATTTTAGAATTCGGTTTGCGACTCTCCGCCACTTGCCGCATTTTCTTAAATTACGAGTTGTTCTTTTTTAGCAATATATTGTATTTACATAAGATTAATAAATAAAAAAAAATTATTTAAATAGTCTTAGAGGTATATTAGTCGTGTAACAAGTGCAGTTCACACGTGTATCTTCAATTGCATGTGTTCTTAAAAATGTAAGGTTTTGAAATCTTTGATTCATTCTTCTTTGATATTTCTTTATTCGTTTGTTGTGGGTTGTATGTTTCTTCATAAAGTTTTGAAATATATTCCATCCATCTTTTTAATATTTCTCCATTTTCTGTTACATCGTTTCCATATTTGTCCTTTACGTTTTTTGCGTTTATTTGTTTATTTTTCTTTGTTAAGTGACAAACTCAAGATTACGCACATATTTTGCGCCTAAAATATAAAAGCATCTTACTGAAATAATCAATATGTATTTGTTCGATCCAGTTATTCTCCAACTCATTCGCCTTTTGTACATTTTCTTGTATCTCATCAGCGTGTCGTTAATGCTTATCACAACCTTCTCTTCAACGAGTTCCTAAACTTTTGATCGAATTGTTTATCTAGATTCTAATAATTCATACTCTAATGCCGGGTTGCACCAAATATTTACACTGTGATAAACTCAGTTAACAGGAGTTAAAATAAATTCTATTGCATAAACCATGTTTTAAATTGTATCTGTCGTCCAAAATATATTTTATCATTAGTTAAATTACATGGTCATTTATCGCTGTGTAAAAATGTATATATAGTTAAATTTTGGTGCTTGTTGCACAAATGAGTATAAGTTTAAAAAAAAATCTTAATATTATTCATATCACTGAGTGGAACATCTCATCAACTACATATCCGCCACCATAGTGACCATTGGGTTAAACTTCAGTTACAATACTAATCTGCATAGTCAATAAGTACTTTAATGTTAATGTAAATATAGTTATTCTTTTTGTTAGGTTATTGCGCCGTGTGACATTAGTTTTATAAGTATTCCCCCCTGTCCCCATTGATTACTAATTTTATGTTTTATGTTTTAATACATATTTTATTTGTTTCAATTTCGCATTAGATTTCAAGTTATTGTAGTTACCATCTTTATCACCTATACGTTCCACTTTATCCGTCTTTATCTTCACAATCCGTTAGTATATTACTTATTGAACCACGCGAATAATCGGACCCAACCCGCGTAAAGGACATCCGGCGCGGTCAATTAAACAGTATTAATTGTATCTCATAAAAAAATAATCGTTTTAGTTATACAATTGCGTTGAGCGGAGAAAACCATAGATTTTTTTTATTTGATTTGGATTATAATTTTGGCATTAGTACCGCGAAAGGTGTTTTTGATTGTACATTTAAAGGTAGCGCAGAAGGTAAGTAGCGGATGTGTTAGCAATAGTGTAATATCAGTGGTTCATTTCGATTGAGCTGGCTCGGTAGATCGTTTGGCGGGTAGAAAATGTGTGGTTTGTGCCTATTGTGTTTGTCATATAATGAGTTCTAATAAATGGACTTTTTTGCGGTTTGCCCGTTTTATTATTTTAAATTTCATTACTTTGTCAAGTGTAATATATAACAATCATATTATTATCTGTATGTGGGCGTAATTGGCGTGCTTTCGGAAAGCTTAATAATAACTAACTCCAGGTATACCGCGTTGCACGGTCGAACGTGAAAAACTTACTAAAATTATTTTTTATTATTTATTGTTGGTTTTAGAACCACTCGTAAAACCAATGTTTGTACAGTTTTTTTTTGTACAACT